GCAGGACCTTGCCCTTGGACCACATTATGTGGTGGTGGTGGCTTGTATGCACACACCTCACGGGTCACAAGGAGCTGTATGAACCAGCCGGTCACCTTTGCACACATCTGACCAGCAGCGACCCCCTACTGTCATTTCTTACTTAAAAAAGGCATCTCTGAGAGGTCCTGTCCCATTGCCGCTGGAGGAGACAGCGCTGTGGAATGGATGGATGTTGGTCACCATGGCAGCTCCCAGGTTCTTCGTGAAAATGACAACAACATTTTTTGTGGAGCCTGCAGAAAAACGGGGAGTTTACCTCACCAGAGAGGTGGTGGGTGGGCATCCGTCCCCAAGAAATGGTGCAGCCCTCCCTTACAGCCTCTGAGACCGGCCCTTAGACGAACCGAAGTCGTCTCTCTCCTTTGGCTTCCTCTGCCTCTCATCCGTGGTCTGTGAGAAGCTGCTTCTGTTTTATCTGAAGAACAAGGATGAACTGAGATGGAATTTAAGTATTCTGCTGAAATGGTGCCGAAAAATACTCATTTCCCATTTTGTCTGCTGCCTAACATCTGCTTCACTTCAGCAGAAGGGTATGTGCTCTTCCTGGGAGCTCCCCCCTCCCGCTTCCCCGCCGGCATCCAGAGAGATAGCAGAGCCCGGAGGCTCCTCGTGCGTGGCCACGATAGTCCGGGCTGCTCAGGAAGATAGAGAGCTCCAAGAAATGCCAGGCCCAGTCAGAGATCTTCTCTCCATCCATTAGTGCTCTTCAGGGCGCACTAAGAGTAGAGCAGAGGTCTGTAACGTGCTGGAGTTTCGTAGCGTGAGTTCGGGTGGTCTGACCTTCCCCCCGTGCTGCTGCCTGCCCTTCTCAGACGTAGAGCAGTGACGCTGTGAAACGAGCTTGCCTGGTTTTTTGGGATAGTTGGCTTGTGTCAGTATAGTGCAATCCTGTTAGCAACGATCTCCCTGTGCTGGGTCACTCCAAAGAGTTGCATCAGCGAGGTTTCCTGGTATTTTTGGCAGGGTTCACGTTTACGTAGGATTTCTGGAATTTGCCAGCAGAGGCTTATTGCAGGTTTTGCATTTCTTACAAAAATAAGGTTAATACTTAAAATTGAATCGTACCCATTTCCTTCTACAGGGACAATCACCGTTCCCACCTGAGCACCTTCCCACAGGTTGGAGATCAGCGAGTCCAACCATAAACACTGCCATGTCCACCACCAAACCGTGTCCCTAAGCTCCACGTTTTTTCAGATCCCGCCACGCCGTCCAGGGAATGCTCTTCACATAGTGAAAGCCACTGCAGGAAGATCTTTTGGAGATACTCAGCCTCACAGTGTAAATATTTTAGTTGTGGGGTATTTGTTTTAATAGTGACAGAATTTTAACAGAGAAGAGTTTGATCTCTGGGAGGGGTGAACTCTGCATCTCCCAGTGGTGTAGAAGCCAGACGGAATGTCTTTACGCCAAGTTTCATCACACAAAGGCTGAAACCTCCTGGACAGTGATAATGGAAGAGAGAATCTAGTAATTTCTGCAAGAATGCAAGAATGCAGTGCTTAAATTCCAGGTGTTGAGGAAGGGTTCCTGCCCGAACAAGAAACAGTCACCGCGTTAACTCTCAGTGAATTTACCAGCATCATCAGTATGTTATGAGCAGTTTGAGGCACATATGGGTCAGGGTCCCTTCTGCTGGAAGAGGAGGACCACCCTGTCCCACAGCTTCTTGGTCCTCACCCCATAAACAATGGGGTTCACCATGGGGGGCACTAGCAGGTAGAGGTTGGCGACCGTGATGTGGATGTGGGGAGGGATGCTCTGCCCAAACCGGTGGGTGAGGAACGTGAAGAGAGCAGGGATGTAGAAGGCAAGGATGACACAGACGTGGGACACACAAGTGCTGAAGGCTTTCAGCTGTGCCTCTGGGGACAACAGCCTCGTTACCACCCGCAGGATCCTGCTGTAGGACACACAGATCAGGGTCATGTCAGATCCGGTCACCATGAAAGCCACAAAGAGGCCGTAGATGACGTTGACTCTGGTGTCCCCACATGCCAGCTTCACCACGGCCATGTGCTCGCAGTAGGAGTGGGAGATGACGTGTTGCTGGCAGAAGGGCATCCTCCGGAGGAGGAAGCAGAAGGGGCTCACCAGGAGGACCCCCCGCACCAGCACCAGGCTCCCGAGAGCCACCACCACCGGCACAGAGAGGATGCTGGAGTACCGCAGCGGGCAGCAAATAGCGACGTAGCGGTCCAAGGCCATGGCCATGAGCACACCCAACTCCACCGACGACAACGTATGGATGAAGAACAACTGAGTAAGGCAGGAGAGAAACCCAATCTCCCCAGAGCCCAGCCAGAAGATGCCAAGCATTTTGGGGAGCACGGATGTTGACAGGAGCAGGTCAGTGAAGGCCAGCATGGCCAGGAAGAGGTACATGGGCTTGTGCAGGCTCGGCTCTGCCTTTATAATGAGGAGAAGCGTGATGTTCCCCAGCACAGCAATGGCATACATGAGGCAGAAGGGGAAGGCAATCCAGAACTGCTCCTTCTCCAGCCCAGGGATGCCAACGAGTAGGAAATAAGGGGGGTGGGAGAAGGCAGTAGAGTTCGGGGACATGAAACCCTTCTTGCCTACACCGAGGGCTCTCGCACCCTGTAAAAAAGCATCAACCACCCGTGACCTGACCCTGTCAATAGCAAACAGACACGGCCATGAGGTACGGTCTAGAAGCTCAAATTCCTCACACAGCCATCCATCCCTGCGAGAGCCGCTGGCGCTGGGTCAGGAGAGCACTTTGGAAGCAAGTGTCCTGCCATTTCCCACTGAAAGTGCTCTGTCCCACTGGGTGGAGGGGTTCTGGAGCATGCAGACGGGATTCCTCCTGGATCAAACTGAACGGGAAGACTGCCTGAGGTGCTCACCTGATACTCTCCAGTGTTCATCAGGATAAGACCCTTCAGCAACCTTCCTGGAACCGGCCAAACCTGTGCTGGGGAGCTGCAGGGACCGGAGGGACAGAGGAGACACTAGCAGCTTCCCAGAAGGGAGCAAGTCGGTTCCTCCCCGAGGGTCCGGTGCTATCCGAGCTGGCTTCGGCATCGGGCTCCGCTCCTGCTGCATCCAGAGCCAGGTGTGGCACCACGACCCCTGCAGCCCATGGCCACCAGTCACCAGCTGGAGCTGGGCCGTGGGCGTTGCGCTTGGAACCTTACAAATACATACGGTTGAGGGTCACCTGCACTCCGGGAGAGAATTCCTGGGGTCTTTCTTTTATGAGGCTGTAAGCATTCCAGGAATTGAAATTCCTGATATTTTCCTTTCTTCTTTCCACTTCCTTCCTCCCATCTACCTCCGCTGGTGCTGCTTTACCTAAAACTCCATTTTTCCACGGACAACACCGGGGCAGGGAACGCGATTCCCAGGCCAAGGCAGTGTGAGAGACCGGAGGGTGCCTGCAAAATCCACTAGCCAGGGGTTGTTCAACGCTTGCTGCTGCCGCCCAGGAGGAGCGATGGCATAAAGGGCCTCATGGCAGGACAACAGATTCCTGCCCAAACCCTAAATACTCACCTGCCTCCCGTGGGTTTCCATGCAGGAACGCTGCGCTGCAGAGACCGGGAGATAACGATGTGTCTGGCAGATAAATCCCAGCAGGGAGCTCTGCATTTCCCCTGCTACTCAACACGTAATTAGAGGGAGAGAAATAGGCAGGTGTTAACCCCCTCAGCACTGATGACCTCACAGGCAGCCGCATTTTGCCTAGTTTTGTGTCTGTTTTCTTGCAGTGTGTTTATTTGGAGGAGACTGGGGAGTGATGGGGGTGTTCAAGATCATCACAGCGCGGGGTGTGTAATGAAAACAGCAGCAGCACGAATTATGAAGCACTTTCCAAACAGCAATCTACCCTTTCTCTGCCCCATCTCATCCGCAGCTCCGACACAGGCTTCCCGTTCCAAAGGTGGAGAATGCTGAGCTCTCCGCATGCTCGTTAAGTGACTCGGTGCCATGTGGCACACGGCACCTCCCTGTGCTGGTTTCCTGGAGCTCACACAACGCAGCATCTCGCTGCCAAATCTTTGGCAATGCCAGGTTCAATTAGAAGTCAAGTCGTGCAAATAAAACCCACTTCCATTTTCAGGAAACCAGATCCAACCCCAAGGCAGCCTACGAAGAGAATGTTGGACAGCAAAGATGCCAGGGTGCAGAGAGACTGGGTCCCCTGGTCCAATGCCAGGAGTACTCGGAGAGAGAAAGAAGGGAAGGCAAGGCAAGGCAAGGCAAGGCAAGGCAAGGCAAGGCAAGGCAAGGGAAAGCTTGGGAAGAGAAGGGAAGTGACAGGAAGGCAAGGCAAGGTTTGGGAAGAGATGGGAAGAGAAGGGAAGGCAGTGCAAGGCTTGGGAGGGGAAGGGAAGGGAAGGGAAGGGAAGGGAAGGGAAGGGAAGGCAAGGGAAGGCAAGGGGAGGCAATCAAAGGGAAGGCAAGGGAAAGGGAAAGGGAAAGGGAAGGGGGAAGGGGAAGGGGAAGGAAGAAGGAAGAAGGGGAAGGAAGAAGGGGATGGAGAAGAGAGAAGACTTGGATATGCCCCAGCAGATCTCCAGCAACTGCTCCAGTCCCATGCAGCTCCTTGATTCCGCTACTGCCAGCTCCACTCTCCCGTGACTCCCAGTGCTCTCCTCCCACTGTGCATATTGCTCTGTCATTCTGTCCTCCTCTACCTCCCTCCCTCTCCTTGTCCTCTTTGCAAGTGACCTGGGCTCTTTCCTCGCCTTCCAGGAGCCGGATGGGCCTCGCGGAAAGCCCAGCTCAGTTGGGCTATCCCCACCTCCGGCTCCCGTCCCGGTTCACGGAGGCCGTGGCTTCAGACGCCTCGTGCTCTGGTTGGGATTTCCCTTCTGCTGCAGGGCAGAGGTGACCTGGAGCCTCAGCAGTCGGCATTTCAGCTGTCACAGTCACCAGCGAAGGCACCTGTGGAGGAAGAAGGGATCTCCCCTCTCTTCCCCAGCAAAGCAACACTCCGTGACTGACGTTTGGAAAACAAGATGGAAAGCAAGAATCCCAAGCAGTTTTCATCTGGGAGAGGTTCATCACGCCTCCCTGCTCTGAAGCTCTCTCAGCTGCCTTTCTGAGAAAGAGAGGGCTAGGAAATACAATACAGCATTTTCAGGATGGTGCATTCATTTTTCTTTCTTTTTTCTCTCAGCATAGAATCATAGAATCATAGAATGGCTTGGGTTGGAAGGGACCTTAAAGATCATCTAGTTCCAACCCCCCTGCCATGGGCAGGGACACCTTCCACTAGACCAGGGTGCTCCAAGCCTCATCCCGCCTGGCCTTGAAGACATCCAGGGATGGGGCATCCACAGCTTCTCTGGGCAACCTGTCCCAGTGCCTCCCCACCCTCTCTGTGAAGAACTTGTCCTGATATCTAATCTAACCCTCCCCACTTCCAATTTAAACCCGTTATCCCTTGTCCTATCACTACAGGCCCTTGTCAAAAGTCCCCCCCAGCACAAAAAGGAAAAGAATAAGGAACATATGGAGAAAGGGCAGGAGCCATTTCTCAATGCCACCGCCATCTGAAAAGTTCAGACCCATAGCATGC